CCAATGTATCTATTGTGAAGCTGTAGGATCTGAAATAAGTCACCTACTTCATTGACTTTAAACCTGCATTGTCTCCGTCAGGCACCTTCATTGCCTCCATCGCCAAATACTTGAGTCTAGCACTCCATCCCACAATTCTGGGTCCTCCAAACACACTATTACTCCATGAGCTGAAGGGGCTGTCTCAGACACAGGATGTGTAAACCTTCTTAGAAGGTGCTGGAGGTGTGCTGTAGGCCTCCGGCACATACAGAAAAAAACGGGACACATCTTCTGAGGCCTAAATATGACTCCCACCCTCAATTGAGCTTCCCAGGCTGGGGATTGATGTCCAGCCCAGCTTCCGTCATCTCCGTTCTGTCTGCTTGCAATCTGGCCTCCATCAGCTCTGTCCATTTGGTCCTCTGTCCGTGTATCTCTGTCAAGATGCGGTATTTATTCACCTGTACAACATCTAGCATTTCACATGATTTGGATAGCTGCATGGTTGAATTCTTGGGGCATTGGAGGCCTTCGGTTTCGATGATTTCGGTGTTCCTTGTGGCCAGGATTGATCTGGTATTTTTTTAACGGGCTAGTATTGAATTTGCACATATCTGATGGCATGGTAATTCGCCCACAGAGGCATGAAATCAGCATATGATGACCTGAGACAGTAGAGAACATGGTACATATATATCCTATAAAGTAATTGAGCAATGGAGGCCTGGTAAACCACGGTGGAGGCCCTGATGGAGGCCCACTACCAATGCCTCCGGCGGCGAGGATGGTGGGAAGATGCTGGGAGATGCCGAGAACTCACAGGCCCCTAAAAGGAACAAATGACATAATAGAAGCCCCACACCTCCGGGACCTACGCACCTCCGACCGCCTTTTAGGGGGTTTTTACTAACACGAAATAACCCCCCAAACAAGCTTTTACGTAATGGCGCCGGAGGTCGCTTAGGTGGGTGGCCACGCCTCTTGAATACACCTCCGACAGCTGGCATTCCATTGGTATCTAGTGTTGCCGCGACTCAAGTTGATCAAAAACAAACTTTGTGTATAGCCACATCACATCCGCCCAAAAGGCAGAAATTTTATAGGCAATGTAGAAGGCTAGTATACAGTAATTAACCGGGAAGCGAAACAATCAGAGTGCGCGTGCGAATCCAAGATCAGTAAGCCACCAGTCCCCCTCATTCTTTGACCGAATCTGCAGTAAACCTTCCGCGCTACACGATGGTCGAAAGGATCATATATTTAAATGGTGTTCTCGTCGAGAACGGGGAGGTTTATCCACGGGGCCAAATTTGACCAAATAACGTGGTAGCGAAACACTTCCAAGCAGTACGGAATGGAGCCTTCGAAGTTGGTTCAGCCCCAAAATCACAACGTGAACAGTCAGAAACCTTGTATTCGCTCTCGAGAGGATCGAAAACCTCCTCCCAGCACTCCCTGGAATTTTTCTGGCCCCACTAATATGAGTTGAGAAAATGGGGCAAATAATGTGTCAGATAAAACTGTGCTGCATCGGCGCAATATGAGCGTTCTGACTAATTCCTCTTACAAGCAAGACTTTATGAATGATAGGAGTGACCTCCCAGAAATTTGGGTCCATCCGCCCAGTCAAAGGTAGGGAACGGGACGGTGTTTCGCTTCTATGTTGTGTTTCGCTTCGGGGTTAACTACTGTAGGTCCATAATATATCCAAACTTGTTTGCAATCAGATCTTGGGTTGTGGAGAAATATTGATGACTCAGATTGACTTGACTTGACTCGACTCAAGTTGATCAATAAATCCAATATTTCTCACGAATGACACAGTAATATCGGGAACCCTTGGGATATGTTATGCACCCACTATGACCCTACATACAGCATATATAATTATTAGACTATACTCTTCACACCAGGGGCAAAAGCTGATGCACCTGGATTCCAGGTGTGTCTCAGGCATGTGGTCCGCAGGTGTGATCAATCCATTGCGTGCAAAGTAAATAAAGGGATCATCACCTTTATTTTCTTTGTGTGCAAAGGCTCATTGTGACTTGTGGAGCACATGTGTCAGACGCACCTGAGATCCAGGTGTGTCGGCTTTTGCCCCAGTGTCAGTCAGGTGTTATTTGTGTCAAATCGAATTTGATCGACTTTGAGTGGCGGCAACACTATCGAAGACGGGAGTTCGGGACGTGGTGGTTAGAGGAAAGAAAGAGGTGAGTTGCTCTTGAGCAAGTTGAAAATCATGCAACGTGATTGATGAGCCGTTCGGCTTTTAGGCATTCTCGGAGGTATCCCTGGTTTCGCTTTTCAAGTTTCCTGGATCACGACCAGTACTAGTAAGTGGTAGGAGCGTCGGTAATTGTCAGTTCGGAGCCGTCGGTACTGGTCGGAAACTCGGACCAGGCATAATTAGACACCGCCTATTGTAGCCCGAAAATATACACAAATGCCTGACCGCCAATTTTTTTCGATTCGGATAAAAACTGCCCCAAAATTGGGGAAACGTTAACCCTAACCTGAATTCGGATGAAAAGTCGAGTGCCTTGCCTGGTCCAATTTTCGGATAGAAACTGAGGGCCGCAAGAGAGCCTTGGGTGGAATTCGGATAAAGGTGTGCAGGAAAAGTGGTGCAGGCACCTTAGTCCATCGGTTATGCTGGCATTCAGTAACACGGATAAAAACTCGAGTCCGGTGAGGCTTTAGGTAAAATTCGGATAAGGATTGCCCGATTTGGGGTCCGGATAAAAGTCCCAATCTTTCAACTTTTGGTCAGGCATTTGTGTGTATTTTCGAGGGTCCTCCTATTGTTCGCGGACATTGCCAATGGCCAGCTGATTCCGAGGGCCTCGACGTCGAACAACTCACATTGGCCTGCGGTAGCGCCTTTTACCATTCCCCCCTTACTGTCCTTCCGTGTACCCGTACTTCCGAATTCCTTCTTCTCTCGCCAAGCCGGAGCCGACAAGAGATATGCTAACGAAAATGTGCATAGCCTCTAATGAGCATTTGATGGGGCTCGCATATAAGAACCCGTACCTAAAGGTAGTAGGAATCTCCATTCCTCCAAAGTGTCAGTCCAATAAGTTCTCATGACCATCGTCCGTGGTCGATGTGCCAGGGTAAAGTTCTTACCATACTCTTGCCAGTCAAAGCTATAAACAACGCACGTTTAGACATGCCATGGCAGACCCAATACCCCAATTCTGGCATATCATTTCTACCCTCAAATCGACGCATCCCAAGCTTATGTACCTCCACCTCGTTGAGCCGCGCATCGCGGGCGACAGAGATGCAGCTGCAGTGCTTGGAAAGGTGACTACCTGTATCTTCTATTCCGCTACCTCCGCTCAATGTGATTTAGGTGGGAGAGAGCAATGATCCCTTACGCGCCCTTTGGTCTCCGGGAACTTGCATTCTTGCCGGCGGGTTCGACCAGGAGCGCGGTACCCAAGCCGCCGACGCTGATGGTTCCACTCTTGTCGTATATGGACGCCACTTCGTCTCAAACGGAAGCGACGTTTGGCTTCATATCTGGTGCGACCGGGAACTGTTCGAAACGTCCCGCACCGCTGTACTGTGCATGCCGCCTCCACCATCGTGCCAGGCAGCTGATCGGGGTTCGACTCCCCGCGTACGCATACCTTGATTCTATCGCCCTTTTTTTTCGTTCGGCTGCGCCGCTGACAGATTGTTAGGTATTGGGCTCGCATTCGAATGGGATGGCTAGAGCGTACGTGGTGTACGAATCTGCATTGGATGCATATGTTTGAGTGTCCGACAGCGGATCGGGGTTCCGCAGACTCCCGAACAATTTTTGGTTGGACTAACAGGTTTGTACTTGCTGGGATTCAAATAGGAGGATAAAAGCGTACATGGTGGACGGAACAGTGCTGCATTGGATATGCAGGATCTCAATCTTCTGTCCCGGGGTTCGACTCCCCGCGTACACCTTGGCCGTGCGTGTGAGCTTTTTTGGCTGCGCCGCTGACAGGTTTATTGGGTATTTAGCTGAATATGTAAGGTAAATCCAAATGGGAGGAAAGAAGTGTACGCGGTGCATGGAACACCGCTGCACTGCATAAGTAGAATATCACTGTTCAACGTTCAACAGTCAGCAGCTGATTGGGGGTTCGACTCCTGCATAGGCCTGTTGACGACGCAGCGATTTTTTGGCCGCGAGGCTGGCAAGTTAATCTGGTTGTTAGCTGAATATGTAGGAGGCATCCAAATGGGAGGATACAAGCGTACATGGTGTACGGAACACCACTGCACTGCCCGCTGTCTCTACGCTCTTTTCAGGCAGCTGATCGGGGTTCGACTCCCGCATACGCGGGTGTGTGATCTTTTTTGGCTGCGAGGCTGGCAGATTCATTCGGTATTTAGCTGGGATTTAAATGGGAGGATAAGAGCGTACGTGGTGTACGGAACACCGCTCCAGTGAATACTCCACTGTATATACAACAGTTGGGTTGGATAGACTGGCAGCTGGTCGGGGTTCGATTCCCCGCGAACGCGTATCGTAGTCGATATATGCAACCTTTTTGGCTGCACGACTGGCAAATTCATCGGGTATTTAGCTGAATATCCAAGCGGGAGGATCAACCGTGACGCGTACGTGGTGTTGGAACACCGCCGCGATGTAGGTTGAGATAGCGGCTGACAGGATTATTCATTACTCAGCTGGGCATAAAATGGGAGGGTAAAAGCGTACGTGGTGTACGGAACACCGCTGCACTGCATGCCGTCGCTGCTATCGTGCCAGGCAGCTGATTGGGGTTCGACTCCCCGCGTATGCGTAGGTCGGACGTGGAGATGTTTTAGTTGGATTGGCGGATTTATTCGTGAATTTAACTGATATTGAATGGGAGGATAAGAGCGTACGTGGTGGATGGAGGTACTGTTCGGCGTTCAGCAGCTGCGACTCCCCACGTACGCCTTCCTCGTTCGTTGCGAGCGTTTTGGTCGCGCCGCTAGCAGATTCATTGGGTATTTAGCTGGCTTTAAATGAGAGGATAAGAGCGTACGTGGTGTATGGAACACCGCTGCATTGGATAACCGTCTACTACTGCCTGCCCTGCAGCTGATTGGGGTTCAACTCCCCGCGTACGCGTAGGCCGGGCGAGCAGATGTTTTTAGTTGGATTGGCAGACATAACTATTTGGTAGTCAGCTGGTATTCAAATGAGAGGGTAAGAGCGTACGTAGTGGACGGAACACAGCTGCACTGCATCCCGTTTCTGCGCTCTTTCCAGGCAGCTGATCGGGGTTCGACTCTCCGCGTACGCGTAAGTCTCTCAAGCATATTTTTAGTTGAATTGGCATCTTTATTCGTTATTCAACTGGCTGTAAATGAGAGGATAAAGGTGTACGTGGTGTACGGAACACCGCTGCAGTGCATGGCAGGCAGATCACTGTTCAGCAGCTGTTCGGGGTTCGACTCCTCGCGTACGTATTTCGCTTCTTGCAACACTGTTTTTTGTGGCTGAGAGGATTTCTTTTTAATGGGCGAGTCTGACTCGGAGAAGGGTGAGACGGCTCAAGATTTGACCTCCAGGCTCAGAGTCCACAGGACCACAGCGCCCAGTGGGCTTTCTTGAGATGGACATTGGCCAAGAAGATACCACATCCTTGAGACGCCGGATCCGAAGACAATGTCGAGCAGGGTGCTACAGGGTGGGTGTGGACGACGACCGCAAATTAAGGTTGCTGCAATCGAGGATTTGATCGCCCAATCGGGACGTCTACAATCAATCGCCCTTGGATTCCCACCTTCATCTTCCTCCGGTTGCACTTTGGTTGCACTCCCCCAGCCCTCCTCGCCTTTCGTCTTCAGCACATATACGAGCCGCAGACGCGTCGGATCGACAGCCGTCGATCGTTGGTTGGTCCGTTTCCGCTTCCCGCACTTTATCGCGTTCTCACAAGGTCTGCGTTGCAGCTCAATTGCAGCTCAGTCGTAGCAAGAGATTGTTATAGCAGGGAGATTGTTGGGAGATTGCTTCTCGCATCGGACTACTACTAGCTTGATCTCGAAGGAAGGCTAGCTGCTGGGGAACGTGTGTGAAGTGAAGCGCCCTATCTAGAGGGATAGACAGGACAGGGATCGCTCGTATTCGGGTGCGTGGCTCGCGTCGTTGCGCCTTCTCTGTCTCAATCCTCTATAAAGCGAAACCCAGGGTACGGAGGAACCCATAATATTTTGTGAGGACCTCGAAATCTTCGGTGAATACGCTTGCTCACGCAGGATCCGCTGGTTTTGCCCAGGAACTAGAAACTGAACAGCACCCAGATATACTCAACTCACCATCCACCTCCAATCCCGGCATCGACAACTTTAGACTCGACTTCGAATCGAATCGCAATCTCAAATATTCACTCTGATCGGTGTGTTTTTTCTTCTCCAATCCTCCTCCCTCCCACCTCCCCTCCCCTTACTCTCCACACCTCGTCTCCCATCCCGGACGGCGGCGCTCACCAACGTTCCAGCGCATCAAGGAACCGTGATCTTCATCTCGGCGCCGCTCACGTGTCACCTGGATTTAGCACATCCCCAATCTCACTTTTCGTCCCCACCCAAGCACCCCTCCCCTCCGTCCGCGAGAGCCGATGGCGTCCTCGGCGTCCTCTTCGTCGCTCAAGAAATCCACCACGTCCTCGCTCAGCGCACCCAGCGCCACCGACTCCAGTGCGTCGTAGCCCGCCGCCGAGGAGGATCACACTGACGGATGAGCAGCAGCGTCCACGGAGCCGCTGTACCAAGTGAAGCTACTATCAGCGCTGCGCAGCGGTGCGTCCTCCCTCTTCATCCCCGCCCTGCGCTTTCGTCGTCCGTAGCGGGTGTACTGATGTCCGCGCAGGCGACCCGGCGCTCATCCACCCCTTCCTCGCGGAGATCGGCAAGGAGAAGCGGCGGTCGACGACGGACCAGCGGCACTCCGTCGCCCTCGGCGTCCTCGTCCCCGCCACCCCAAATTCGAACTCGACGCCCAATCCCGCGGCTACTAACACAGGCGCGAACACCACGCTCGACACGGGCGCGGCCGCGCTCCACCTCGCGATCCGGTGTGCCTCGCGTGCGTACATTCTCCGTCCCTCGCATATCTCACTAACTCTTATTATTAATTTTGCTACAGGCGAGACGATCGCGCTCCTCCTCTCGCACCGCGCCATCTCGCCCAACGGCGTGCACCCCCCGGGCTCGGGGACGACCGCGCTCCACCTCGCCGCGGCGCTCGGCCGCGCGGACGTCGTCGCGCTGCTGCTCGAGCAGGAGGCGATCGACGACACAATGGTGGACGGCGCGGGGCGCACTGCGCGCGATGTCGCTGTGGCGCGCGGCGGGGGCAAGGAGGTCGTGCGCGTGATTGATGGTGCGTTCTCCTTTTTTTTGCGTTCGCTTCGTCTAGTTTTTTGTGGGGGGAGGGTCCGCTTTTTTGCTGGGGTTTCTTGCGTATTCGGGAGGGAGATGGGGAGCGAGTACCGTTATTCGGGGTTCCGCGCTTGGTGGCGGTGGGGCTAACGACCGCGCCCTGGCCGAGTGGCGAATGCCGGGGCGTTGCCATTCTTGGGTGCAGGCGTACGGCCGCAGCTCTAATTGTGCGCACTGGAGACCGGCGCATGACCTCCGGCTCCACGCGGCGGGCATCTTGAATGGGCGCGGCCCGGGTCGATATTCTTCAGCGCGTTTTGCGCCCCGTCTCGTTGTTCGCGTTCTATGCGACGCTCTACTTCTGCGCGCTGGAGCGCCACCTGCTCCCTTCCTTTTCTTCCGGGCGACCGACCGACTGACCATTCTTGTTTTCGTTCTCCACAGACTCCCGCGCCTTCCTCAACGCCGCCTACCGCTCCCTCCTGCGCTCCTACATCCTCTCCCCGCTCCCCCCGTCCGCCTCCACCACCGGCACCTCCTCCCTCTCCTCCCTCCCCTCCCCCTTCCTCTCCTCCGCGTCCGGCCAGCCGTCCCCCGCGCTCCTCGCGCTCCTCTCCTCCCCGCGCGCCGCGCACATCAACCTCTCGTACCTCGACGACGCGTCGGGCAGCGCGCTGCTGCACGAGGCCGCGCGGCGGCGCGACCTGCGGCTCATCGAGCTCGCGGTGCGCGCGGGCGCGGACGTGTTTGTGCGGGACCGGCGGGGGAAGATGGCGGGGCAGGGGAAGGAGGGACGGGATGAGAAGGTTAAGGTTTTTTTGAGGCAGTGTGCGTTTCTCTCTCCATTCCTGCTCCTCCGATTCCTCTTATTTGTTTTTATTTTACTTTTATTTTTGGGTGCTGATGATGTTTGCAGTGACGAACCAAGACGCGTCGCTCATGCGCGCGGCTACTGCGGGGCCTGGTGCGCCGGAGCCGCCGGTGCTGCGCGGGTACTTGAATAAATATACGAATGTGGCGAAGGGGTATAATACGCGGTGGTTTGTGCTTAAGGATGGGGTGTTGAGCTGTGAGTATCTTTTCATCCGCTCGCTTTCATTCTATTGGCTTGCATTCCTTTCTTCTTCTTCTGCTGTTACGACATCCGTACATTCCTCCTCTCCATTGCATTCTCTTCGATTCCGTTCCTTCGTATTCCATGTTATCGTCGTCGTCTTGTCTGCCCCTCCAGCAACAACGTACTAACTTGCCTCCCCAGACTACCGCCACCAAGAAGACGAGCAGTTCGCCTCGCGCGGGTCGATCGCGGTGCGCACCTGCGTGCTCAAGGCGTCCGGCGCCGACCGCATGCGCTTCGAGATCCACTCGGGGCACCGCGGCGGGGAGAAGTGGTACCTCAAGGCGAACCACCCCGTCGAGGCGAGCCGGTGGGTCAAGGCCGTCGAGGCGAGCATCGCGTGGGCCAAGGCGCGCGAGGGCGACGCCGCCGAGTCGGAGGGCGGCGGGGGGAGCATTTTGGGCGGGAGCATCGGGGGCGGGAGCATTGGGGGCGGGGGGAGCGCTATGAGCAGCAGCGTGAGCGTGTCGGGGCGGCAGCGGCTTGTCAGCGTGTTAAAGAAGGGTCCGGGGAGCATTGGGAGTGTGAGGCGGAGCGTGACGGCGGGGAGCGAGGCGGAGTCGTTGGCGCCGAGCGAGTACACGGGGCGGGAGAGTGGGGAGCACAGCCCGAAGATGGGGGGCGGCGGCGAGTCGGACGTGGATGGGGAGCTTGGCGCGGGTGTAGGGCGCGGGGAGGAGGCGGACGCGGAGGACGAGGAGGAGGAGGACGACGGGTACGACGACTCGTCAGCGTCGGCCAATTCGTCGTCGATCCGCGCCAAGGTCGAGGCGCCGCACGAGGCGTCATTCGAGCTGCTCGGGAACTCGGCGACGGCGCAGATGGAGCTGACGCTGGGGCTCGTTGGCGGGGTGGGCGCGGCGCACGACGCGCTCAAGGACGCGCTGGGGATGGTGGGCGAGTTTGTGGCGGTGGCGCGCGAGCGCGACGCGTGGTGGCGCCGGAAGCTCGGGCGCGCGCAGATGAAGCAGAGCGCCTGGGAGCGGAGCCTGGCGAGCGCGGTGCGCGAGGGGGAGGTGCTCGAGCGCGAGCTGCGCATGCGGAGCCGCAAGCGCGGGAGCCGATTCTTCGACGCGGAGCTCGCGCTCGGGGCGGTCGGCGCGAACGGGACGCTCAAGGCCCGGAGCAAGCGGCCGAGCATGCTTGCTACGAGTGTGCTAGAGGACGAGGTGGTGGACTCGCCGGTGCGGGAGGACGCGGTGCGCCCGCCGCTGGCCACGTTGCCTGCCCCCGTGGAGCCCGCGGCGACTGCCTCGCCTGCACCGCCTGCCGCACTGCCTGCCCCTGTCCTCGCCCCGGCTGTGCGTTCGGCAACTGCGGAGACTCTCATCGCCCTGCCCCTGACTGCCACCAACTCCACATTCGCAGGCCGCTCCTACAACAACTACGGCGACGCCGAGTCGGTCATCGACACGGACGAAGAGGACGAGTTCTTTGACGCCATTGAGGCGAACAACATCCCGAATTTGGTCGTGCACGAGTCGCTTCGGTCGCCTACGCACTCGGAGCTCGCGCTCCCCGAGACGATCAACGTGGAGCCGTACGCTGGATACCAGACGCTCAGGGAGCAGCTCCTGCTCAGCGATGCGCGGCCGAGCACGAGTCTGTGGAGCGTGCTCAAGCAC